AGTAATAATAAATTTTGTACAATTAACTAAACCTCTGTAAACAATTAAAGAAATAAAAAATAAAAAAAGAAAAGAAACAAACTGCAGTAAATTAATTGTACATAACTGTATTACAACGTTATGCACAAAATTTTCATTTCAATTTCATTAATGCACGAAATAATGAACATTTCAATATTTCACGGTCAACATTCCCGACAAACACGCGTCACAGAAAGCGACTTTGTACATTTCGCGCTTCATTAAGTCCAGAAAATTCTTTCGAGCCTCGTAGAGTTTATATATTCTTCACAGTCCAATATCGTTAGAAATAATTCCTTGTAGCCCTTTAAAGTTTGTATATTCCCAATTGTCTATAATCAATCACTTGGAGTCCCATAAAATTGATGTAATCCTGATCGGCCAAGGTTGCCCACAATAATTCTTTAGAGCCCCGTAAAGTCTAGATATTCCTGATCGACCAAGATAGGTATTCTGAATTGATTACATCACTTTTGTCTTTCCGTCGCCTTATTTTAAAAAAGTCGGAAGTGCGAAATATATTGATGAAAACTATAGGAGACATTATTGAATTGGGCGATATTTATGAAAATAGAATAAGAATCATTTTCTAACTCGATTAACTTTGTCTATCTGAAGTCTCTTTATATTTTTTCACAGACAGCAGCTTTCGTTACGCTTCTAAAAAATTTGCCGCACCGACCTGTTTTGCCCCATGAATCAATTCCTTCATAAATGGATTGAATCGATCTGTATTTATGATCAGTCCCTTTATAATGATTTATTTTGAAGAAATGTTTACATTAAAAAGATTTACTCATTTTTAATATTTGTTGCCAAAAATCGTTGTAGAATTATAATCCGACAGATGAGTGCGCAAAATACCAGGGGATTAAACCCTTTCTTCTGGCAAATTTCCCAAGCAAACGTTGCTATAGAGAATAAGCTTTCGTACGGCAACAAGGTCTCACCTTCAGATTGTTATGCTGAAAATCAGTAGTGCAATGGCAGTGTGATATTCATTGTGTGTGTGTGTGCATCACATAGGTTTGTTTTTTGAACATCGCAGTGTAAATGATTTGTCAACAGAAACAAGCCTTTATACGGTAACAAGGCCTACATTGCAATATTTGGTAATGGAGCTAAATGACGAATTGCCTGACGCGACGTCAAAATAAAAAAGAAATTATACTTAACTTGAGCCGGTTTTTTTTTTTTATGTAAAGCTTTTCATCTCTCCATTCGACAAGTTTATCTAATTATGAATGTTTTACTTAATTAGTTGGGCAAACGCATTACATTTAAGAATTTCTACATAAAACATTTCAATCACGTTTTCTACATAAAAGTCAAAATCAAGTCATGAAGTCACGCTTCTGTCAGAAGACAAAAACCAAACGAACGCACATGACTAAAACGTGCATTTAGCCCTTCCTTGGACGTTGACGGCTTTCTATACTATCTTTTACGATAACATCGATTTCATAGAGAAACGTACAAAACCATAATATTTGGTTGGCAAGAAAATAATCTCGCTCATCTCGATACGTTAAAATTACATGTAATTTCGATTTCTTTCCGATCATGAAAAAGTGAGTAACACTCGTCATTTCATATCTAAACTTGGAGAAAATTCGTTCCTAATGCATATGAACGGAGATTGGTGTTGAGCGCAATACAATCCTTAATACGTTCGCGAGGATAATTAATGGAATCGTAGCAAATAATTGAACCCGTTACGAAAATGTAAAATTTATTTCGAACGATTGGTCCATTAATATGTATTCTTCAATAAAACGGATCCACGAAATAGACCTATGTGGTCCAAATTCGGTAAGGATATACTTTATACCAAATTATTGTTATGAACGAATTTTCATCAAGAAGTGTAAGTCATTTTACCACATAGAGATTCAGTTTCCATAGGAAGGATTATATGGCGAGAGGTTCAAAAATTAAATCCATATGTCCAAACACACACCAATTTAGAATGCCGAAATATTATTACTAAGCGGTTTTTGTCAGGAAACTCTAGTAATTAGAAAATTTTTCCTTATAACGACTTATCAATTAAAGCGTTATGGTGAACACACGTTGGTGTACCAAAGTTCATCAAAATATTTCGAAAATAGCGGACTGTAGGTTGAACACAAGAATGCATACGGGCAGACATCATGCGGACAGAGTGGTAGGCAAGCTCCAGACGATTTACAAAATGCATCTGAATCGATGGTTTTCATTGACATCAGTCGGACAGATGGACAGACGAGCAGAGAGGCTTAGATCGATGTAAAAAATTATTATAACAAAAGGTAGGTTTATCCCAAATCTTTCTGTGTGTTGCAACTGTCCGCACGAACTTAATATACCTTGTACCACAACTGATGTAAAGTATAATTAATTTACCGCAATTGTTATTAGGTTTAATTCACACTGTTCTCAAACCAATGCATTGACTTTTGCTTACTGACGCTCCAAGCCAAGCAATGGTATCTAAATATTAAATATATTTTTTATTCTGTCAAAAGGTTGCTTTAAATCTTTGACAATGAAATATATCTTCTACTTTATCTCAATCCTTCTATACGAACGGATTATTCGGCATATGCTAATCTTTTGATTTACCTCCCTTAACATTGAACATGACAAACATTTATTCAACTACTCACAGACATTTTATCATTAATTTTTCATATATTTTCCCCTCAACCTTTTTTTAGTGTAGGATCATAAAAGGTATTATAATTACGCAACCTATAAGATTACATAAGAATATGTAGAAGTTTTGTCAATTACTTTTAGCAGTTACGTTAAAAAACAAGTAAGAACATTACAGTCATGCAAGGCCTACTATTAGGTATCCCGCACTACTTCCCGTCATACAGTTATTCACTCATTTCGGTTATAATACATCAAAAGTTGCACAGGCTTGTCGATTTGCGTCAAATTGATAAATTTAATAATAATGATATAAAGATTAACCTGATCCCTCGCTGTAGCCAGAATCAAAGCAAACGCTACGGCATCCGAGATTTGAACTCGCGGACATTAGCTTAGTGGTCGCGATTCTTACCGAAACCTTACGCGAATTCGTACATACATACAGTGAATAAGGACTTATCAGCTGATAGGGAAGTTTAAGACAAATATTTTTATGAACACAAGTTAAGGACCATCCTAACAAAAGCATACATTCACGAACCACCCTAACAAATAAAATAAACAAACATAACGTTTCATAAACAATGAGTGTCATACAAAGTCAATGTAAACACTTCTCACCAATCTCCTATTGCACCCTACTATAAACATTATTCCATTGGATAACCCAAAGATTTCCTATAAGGTAATTTGTTAAAAAAAAAATCAATTCATTACCAGACGTCAATAGTATTAAAATAAAAATTTGTGTTTGCCCAAAATCCTGGTAATTGACTATGAATTTTAAGTATTGACAGCGACATAATTAACTTGAATTTATATATTTTTGCTGTGTGCTTGTGAGCGTGTGTGTGTGCTTAGAAAAGTTTCAAAATATACATTTCTAAAATGCTTATTTAATTTCTAATTAATTACAGTACGCGTTAAATTGTTTAGTACAAGAGAAAAATAAATTTTACTACAAAAAGGAGACGAGAGAAGATCGGAGCTGAACGCTAAGAGAACGCAAGCCAGACAGAAAGCCTAGTAATCCTTAATTCAGCGTAGTATTACTTAACCACTATGCATGACTTAATTAGTTTCGCGTGCATCGGCGTTGCCCGAAGAGCATAGACAGTGTTTTTCATGGTTTCACATATAGAGTCCGATAGCAAGATAGGATTATAAATGTCCTTCAAAGGTTATTTATGTATGTTTTTTATTCCTATTTTTTAATATAATCAATCTCTCAGTATTCATGTAACAAGATGATGGTCAGAAAGAAGTGACGAAAAAGACAGCATGTGGCCGTAGCCTAGTGGATGTGCGCCCAATCGGTAAGTATTGTGCCTTGTGCCTTGTGCCTATGACTGAGCGCTCGTTATCGTTACGACCAACCCTAAATGATTTAGTGAATTAGGTTTTCCGATCCGAAAGTTCCTAAATGGATCGACAGTAACAGGTTGTCTAAAAAGCTGATATCTCAAATGAATCCACGTTTCTCCAGTGAAAGTATTGCAGCAAAGTTTTCAAACATGACGTTTGCACGTGTGAAACGAGAGCAAACAAATCACGCGTCAACTTTGTCGACCTTTTCTTTTCTCGAAATGTTTGCAATTCACCTGCAGAGGCAAGTCCACTCTAAAAAAAAAGAAATTTAATATAAAATTTTGTTCAATTAGTTCATGATTTTTGAAAGTTTTCCGACCATGCTTGAGACCTTTATTTATGAACTAACAACTCGTGCAATATGAAAATCCTACTAGTTGTCATTAACAACTATGTAAACGATAAAAATTCACATTAATGTTGAAAGCGTGCGCATTTTCAAAATGAAAATTCCCCTTATTTTTTGAACACAATAGTATATGATGATGGTTTGAAAAGAATTCAACAAAAATTAATATATAATGGATTTATTTAAGGTCTTTTTATAAAGAAGCAATTAAAAAGGAAAAACTCTCTCTCTCTAAAAAAAAAAAAAAAAAAAAAAAAAAAAAAAAATTAAGAAAGTAAAAATAACGCTCAGCATAATTGTAATTATTTTACTTGAAATCGTTGGCAATTTAATCGTTCATTATCAACGCAACATATAAGACATTATTTTTTATAAGTTACGGCAAATTATGAATTAAAAAGCAAAGTGAAAAAAAATATTAAAAAAAAAAAAATTATTATAATAATTGACAATTCTTTTTCGTAAAGACGAGAAATAAATAAAGCACGAAGCAACAAACAGAAATAAAAATATTAAATAAAAATTATAAAATAATAAATTAAAATAATTGCATCGAAACGTTTTGTCGTTTTGATTGTTTGCGCGCCGGTAAATTCGATTCGATTATATTGCGTCTCTTAGCATGTATTCTTTGAATTCTTTTCGCCACATTGATGACACTAATTGGTTATTCTTAACATTTAGCATTGGTAAGTAAGCATGAAAAAGCGTTAATTTTTAAGGTCATAGAAATAGAAATAGAAAGTAATACTCTCACCGCCACACTATACGATCAAGTCAATGCAATTATGAAAATCGAAAAACTCATCTCTGCCAAAATTAAAAATTCCAATTTTTAAAGAAAATAGATTTCAAATTTAAGGACAACGGGTGAAGTCCTTTTTACTGTGTTGAAAGGTGTAAAGATTTATTTCCATCAATATTCCTAACAACTATCTTGAAAAAGCTGGCGGAATATTTCCGAGATTCGAACTGAAACATTAAATTCTTAGAATTTATTTCAAAATCGTATATCGGTAATTCATTTTTGTACTCGCATATCGGTAATTCATTTTTGTACTCGCATCTCGAGTTCGGCATGGCCTCTGCATTCACTTTATTAACTTTCCATCCCGGAGCATAATCTTTCAATGTCAATAACACGGAAAGGTTTAAGCAGTGAAAAGATTACTTCGCTAGTGATGAATTGAATTTGACGGTTACACGCATTTCCCATTGAGTGATTACCCTCAGCCAGCTTCAATTGGGGCACGCAATAAGAGCAGTAAGACGTGTCCCAATATCAGGAAAATGTTATTGGAATCGATATTCGAAGAGGAACGATTTTCGTGAATTTACCGATGGCCTTTGCTTCAAACTGTCCAAAATTATTGTTAACTATCAAGTTGTGTGTACCATTTTATGAAAAGTCGTATTTGAATCTCTGCCAGCATCAAAACCAATCTGCAGTAATTAAAATTGTTCTCTAAGGGAGCCATGAGTCCTTTGGTCACGACGCAACAACACGAAACGTAAATAAAGGTGAATCATACTACGTCGCCAATGTTGGCTTAAAATTGCATACCAATAGATGTACTGTTCACTAAGATATGCATCTGATATTTTACGTTGCTTATTGCTTATTATAATGGCTTAATTTTCAGTTCACTGTCGAAACAGATCTGTAGATCAGTAAATCACCGTCATGTCTAGAAAAAATTCGCTTTAAAATATATACTTACTAATTTTCTTAAGCCAATAAGAGGTTGACAATAAAGAAACAGGCGAAGAAGATACTCTAGGTCCATCAATGTCTTCTCGGGAAACGGGAATACTTTTAAATCATTCAGATAGAACATTTTCTAAAGCTCAAGAAGTAAGTGAGATTTTGAAAGCAAAAAAATACTTCGAGTAGATTCAAAATAACATTGTAGATAAAGTATGACAATTATGACAACGGCAAAGGCCCGCCTTGGCTAAGAGACTTCATTAATGAATATTAACGCTTTCCTATCGTGAAATTTCGTATGAGAGGAAATTCCGCTGAGCTTTTCATCTACATTTCATATCTGTAGTAAATATAATATTATTTTTTAAATCCGCCTAAAATAAGAATCGCAAAACCTAATGCTTATGGCTTAACCTATGAAGCCTATAAGTTTTTTCTAATTATTATGACTTTTCTTGCAATATTATTCAACGCGATTATTATTGCTGCGATTTTATTTGTTATAAGAAATTCTTTATTCAACAGCGTTATGATTATTCCCACTCACGTCACAGAGTCTGCCGCTTCCGACCAACTGTTTAAGAGGGCATTTAATTTCACCTTTTTAAAGGGACTCGCACTTTTATAAAATACTTCTATCAATCGAAAAACATATAAAAACGCTATAGTGGATCCTGGCCCACCATTAAATACCTTACACTACTCCGATTAACACAGTTAATCATACAATGACTTCGCGAAATGGGCCGTTATATAAGAACTGGTGGGAAAGGTGGTCCGGTATGAATCATTTTCACCTCCTTCACATGCTTAGAACAATACGGTTCGGTTTACGAAATTTCATCAAAATAATTAAAAAACTGGGGCCTGTAAGCTGAAGATAACAAAACTAGATGGACAGACACACAAATGATTGCGAATTGATCGGTATAATAAGAAGTGTGTCCAGAAAAAAACAAATATTTTTATTTTACTTCCTTTATATGTCCAAATTTTGGATACTTTATTTTCCCGTTATTTGAAAATTTAATCCACACATTTTTTCTTCCTTTGCAGCGCTTTGCATTCCTACAAACACAAATGCTAGGCCACATTTTATTGTCTCTCAAAATACGCTGCAGGAATTAGTGCCTACCAGCAATAGTAGTAGCAATAATAATAGCATTCAAAACGCCTTAGTACCCTCAGTACCGGTTATACCAACGTCTTCTATTGCCATGGCTGAGCCGCCTCTAGGACGTGATATTAGCATAGGTCCATGCATATGGACGGTAGATCGTAAATGTCCCGATCGTGATATATTATTTTATTTATATACCCGTAAAAATCCAAAAGATAGGCAATTTGTACACATCGATGAAACTCTAAAAAAATCGAATCTGACATCGTCACATTTTAATAAATTACATCCGACCAAAATTATAATACACGGCTATAATTCGGATATGTTCTTACATCCTCTACAACTAATGAAAGATGGTAAGTAAAGTCTACAAAAAAAAAAATATGCCAAATTTCTCATTCCTGACTTCGTCATTCGAACTTAGAATATATGGCAACAGGTCATCACAATATATTTTACGTAGACTGGAGTAAATTGTCTTTAAGTCCTTGCTATATGAGCGCTGTTTATAACACACGTCATACGGGTGCGTGCGTAGCTAAGCTAGTTGAACGCATATTAGATACAGGAGCATCCGATATTCATGTTATCGGTTTTTCACTGGGTGCCCAGCTAACCAATTATATAGCAAGAAATTTGGGTTCATTTCTGCTACCTCGTATAACAGGTACATTTGCTTATTATTTTTAAATGTGTCTTGTAATTAAATTATTCCATCGCTAAAGGTTTAGATCCTGCTATGCCTTTGTTTATAACCGCTTCGGCAGCCCATAAGCTCGATCCAAGTGATGCTGCTTATGTTGACGTTATTCACACCAATGCCATTGTGCAAGGCAAGCTGGAACGATGTGGTCATGCCGATTTTTACATGAACGGTGGCATAATGCAGCCTGGCTGTTATAATTCAACGATGAGTTAGTTCGTCTTCAGCGATTTTTACAGCTTTTTCCTATGAAATATTTTTGCATTCACTTGTTTTAGATGCCTTTGCATGCAGTCATCAGAGAGCGCCCGCTTATTATTTAGAATCTATACGTTCTCCTCGGGGCTTTTGGGGTTGGCCTTGTAGCTCATATCTCACTTACATTCTGGGCATGTGTCCACCGAACGATTATTTGGTGGAAGCTGGCGAACATGTAAAACCGAGCACTCGTGGTTTGTTTATTATTAAAACAAAAGAGGCTTTTCCATTCGCCTTGGGTAAAGGTGTGGATGTACTTAGTTTGAAAGATTGGTGGAAAAAGAACAAATCGACAAATGAATCGAACATAAAATTCGAAATACCATTACAGAAGGTAGAACCCCTTCAAAAATATATTGATCAATGGGGCAAATTGGATTCCACCTTCAATAATTTACAGGAACACGAAACTGAAAATCCCTATGACTTCATGTGGACGCATGTTGATGAGAGCGATACTGCCGATAAGCCCAGCGTTTCAATTGAAGAGGAAGATATTAAAGATTTAAATAAGAGTGCAACGCATGAAAAACAATTGAAAATAAACTGGGATGAATACCGCGAAAATCTGACATCCGGCTTTATCGATAGTTCCATATTTAGTGTTCCTATTTTAAGTTAATTTCTCGTCTCATTTTAAAATAACTCGCACAAGTTTCTTTTTGTTTTGTCCATTTGTACATTTACTATAGAGGATATATTAACCCAACAGTAGAGGTAACTTTTGTAATAAAATGAAGAAGGCATCAGAGAACCGTCTTGGAGCGAATAGCATAATTCATGGAGTCATACTAAGTCAGGATGTCATGCCTGGAAATCAATCGATCTTAATACTATGTCTAAGAAAATATACATATTTACATTTGACGACCTTTTTCACTCACATCGGATCAAGTCCGCAAACCGATCTACCATAACCATCCATTCCTGTTCCTTTTTATTAGATTACGTTTTGGAGCGTCGGCTTTGGGGTTATAGAACTGCCACCGAAAGGAACGAAGTACTCTTTCTAAGCTTTCTTTCCCTCCGTAACTCTCAGAAATACTCAATCGGCCCAAGATTCCATATTCTTGAAAAGCAAATTGATTTACTGATTTATGCTCTTTGCGGACAGATGACCGATGCAGATATGGAATGACTATTGATGACTATATATTATTTTTAGATAACGCGAACCTTTAAAGGAACTATGTCAAGACTTCATGACATTCCGACCGTTAGTTTACTAGTTACAGTTGTGTAAGCTACGTTACGAATTTTATAAAATTTTTATAAATTTCGTGGGAAATGATTTGTCAATAACCGTGACATCTTTAGATCATCCTATGAATTTGTTGAGTAATACAAGGCTTTTTATTTCTTCGCTTATACTATTGAAATTGGAAATTTCGTAAAATATACATTGGTGGTCGGTTTGATTTTCAGAATCTCTTCAACTATAATATATCCGTTCGATTACCACCATTTATTTATTGTTCGAGTTCTCAAAACCGCAAAAGCCGATATAGAAAAAAGGAGACTTGACAAAGAGCTTCTTAACTTAGGTCCGTACATCAAGTTTAAAGTTGTGTTTCTTACCCCATTAAAACAACTTGCAATTAAGCGATAGATGTCAAGAACTCGCCATAAGGCGAATACATGCTAGCTGCCTTATTTGCCCTTAATCAAACTTCCCTGTCAAGTAAACGGGCCCAAGTATTCGCTCAGTATTATACAAATAAGTTTTAGTGAAATTAGGTAAGAAATTCTATTAATTATATAATAAAGATATAATTATTTGTTTCTGCCATCATACGGTTTCGTAAAGGCGACAAAGGTAAATTTTAAATATATGTATTTATGTATCTACGTATTTAGGCATATTTGTGCATAAGCATTATACGTATATATGTTTTTCATCCACAAACATTAAAAAATACAACATGATTATCATAACTGATTACTGGCTTCTTCATCTTTTTGGTTCTTCAAAGATCACTGCAGAATATCTCCTTTGTTTTCAAAATATCAAAAATTATAGAAAAAGAAGAACTGCTCAATAGAAAGGAAATACAAGTAAATACTTATTGATCTTAGGTCACTGTTGTTTGGATTTCAAAAGTTGGATACTAGGTCGAACATTGGATCTGATAGGCGATCTGGGAACAAGTCAAGCTCTCACAAAAAGCATAAAACGAAATATGCCATCTTTGATACGCCTAAGTCGAAATGGCATTGATTCTTAACAAGCATAGTCAATACCGTCTGAAAATATTGCCAATAAAAATATAATACGCATCAATAAAGAATGGAGTCCTTTATATATTTTGTCACAATGTTTGCAATTGCGAAGCTGAAGCTTTAAATACCCTATACAAATAAATAAGAAAATTACATTTAGCTGCGATCGAATATTTACTACGAACCATCGTTATCCTAAAACAAAATACATTTTGAACAATATGACGTTGGGTGGGCGTAAATGATTTTCTTTTATTTTTGTATAGTAAAAATGAGAATTTCTATCCTTTATCTTTATTCTCAGTTTACGTTGCTTTATCGGCGTGTCCTTTTCACATTTTTTTTTGCAAGCAAAATTCTCATTTTCGCGAAAAGGAGAGTGTTTACGAAGGACACCTCACGCACGGACAAATGGAAAAACGGGCATGCTTAAGTCAAGAGTAGTTAGATAGAAGTCCAATAGAGTTGGTCCATTGCCCAAAACGTGCTAAAATAACAGATTTCATTAATCCAGCTCAGAACCTACGCTACCTAAGATAAGACAATTAACACACATCGGCACATATCAGACAGTTGTGGTTAAATCGCGATCCTCATTCAATTGTGGTAATAAAATGTGACGTCTCTACCAAAACTTTCTCTCTTTTACATATATCCGCAAAAATTTATGCACCTTTAGCACAAGTGGAGTGAGGTATGCTAAGAATTTAATCCGCAAATAATTTTGGAATAAGCGACAAATGTGAAGGCGAAACGAAGGCATGTAATACACAAAATCGTGCAATTAACGTAGGTCCGCTCCGAGATAATGGCAATACAAAGGAATTTATAATCTGTAACGACATGAATCGTGAGAAAACATCTCCCCTGCTCGGACGATGCCTGCAACTGCCGCAGAGGTTTATACTTTTTTACTTAAAATGACGAATATTTCCAGAATTCGCAAAAACACGAGTGCACCTTTCTTTTAACTTTGTTTTTTTTTTGCAAATCTTCCTACTATCTGTCGTCACGAATAATCTTTATTTTCAGCTATAAATTTGTAAAACTCACTTTGAAATTTCCCGTCAATGATTATTCTTTATTGTAATTGTGTTCAATTACTTAATTGAATTTATGGTATATGAATGATATAAATGATGATTAATATAATTACTCCTTAATATTAACAGTTTCAGTATTTCTTTTTCTTCATATTTGTTGAAAACAACGTCGAGGTTAATACAAAAAGAGAATAAAAAGGGAAAAGATAAGAAACAAAAAATGCCTTTAAGAATGGATTTATCACTTTCCTTATATAAAGTGGTTTCCGAAAACAAAGTGATTAATTTAAATGAAACAAAGAGCGTAATTGTAATATGATTAGTGAAGATTAAAAAGTAGAAGATATTGTAAAAGGAATATATGACAATCGTTTTTCTTACCATTTTTTTTTTGTTTTTTTGTTTTCTTTTGTCGCTTTTTTTCTTCTAATTATCTCAATTTAATATTTTGTGTAAGAGACAAACTTGAACAATTACGCAGAATAAGAATAAGTTAGGTTTTAAAAAATTTGTTTTTTTATATATAATTTTTGTTCATTTTTAAACTAGTTACTGTTCGTTATTTCTCTCTGCTGGTATTAACGGGAAACATGTAACTCTAGATAATTTGTGATTTGAAAAGGAAATATATATGCAGTTGCTGTTGTCGTTGTTGTCATAAAACTGCTTATTTTTTCTTGACTATGCGTTTAGCTTTAATAATGGGTATGCCGATATCCTTAGTCTCTTCAGCAGGTACGGTCGCGGCCGCTGCTGCTGCTGTTGTTGTTGCTGCTGGTGCTGCGGCTGCTGCTGCTGCTGCTGCTGGTGGTGGTGGTGGTGCTGAAGCTTGTGTTGAAGCCTGTGCGGGCTCATCAATAGCCATGGGTTCGGTTGGTTCTGCCTTTATGTCTTGTGTATCTTCGTCCATGGCTAATGGTGAAGGTGGAGCTCTGGCAGCATCCGGATCATCGTCTTCTTGAGCATGAGCTGTGGCTTCCTCATTTTCATTTTCAACGACCGAGACGTGATACAATGCTTTCTCATCATCCGATATCGGTACGGGAGCATTGGAGAGGGGATCTCTGCCATTCAGGGACTTAGGGAATGCGATGACATCACGTATTGAAGCCGTACGACACATAATGGCCATCAAACGATCCAAACCTAAGGCTATACCGCCATGCGGCGGACACCCTGATTCCAAGGCATTCAATAAATGCGTCAAATTATCATTGGGTAATTTCAAAATTTGTTCCAAAACGAATTGTTGCATGTCGCGATCATGTATACGCATAGAACCCCCGCCAACCTCTTGCCCGTTCAATATCAAATCATAAGCCTGCGAACGTATCTTAGCTAGATCTTCAGCCTTGGAATTAATGAAAGCGTCCATATCGTCGGAATGGGGCGCAGTGAAAGGGTGATGAACGCTCTCAAAACTACCAGTTTCTGGGTTACGTTCAAACATCGGAAAGTCGATAATCCAAACGAATTTGTTATCATAATTCTTGCGAGCTTTGTTATGCTCCAGCAAAAAGTTATGGTAATCCACACGTATTTTACCCAAAAGCTTTTGCTACAATTGACAAACATTTTGATAAAAAATTGCAAAAAAATTACAAAACGAGTTTCAAGTCAAAAGAAAAAAAAAGGTCCATCTGGAAACTTTAAGATATAATTATATAATTGGGAGATTGTCTTTTAACCCAGGAAAAAAGTTGGTTTCGTCCCAAACCGAAATTATTAACCCACTAGTTGTTGTGACAGAGTAAAAATTCAATCCCCATATACATAATTTATACATTAAAGCTTAACATACAGGTTTCAATTAAAAGTTCTAAGATTCTAAACCTATACGTAAGCAAAAAAGGCAAAATTATCATTTGTTGACTATTGCTTTTACAGATCTATGCAACGATTTCTGGATTTTTCGAAACCAATTTGAAAAAACAACAATATTCCAAACGTAGCTTTGAAATCACAGTATTGAGGTCAACAGGTGGGTAGACTCAGAGATATTCCTCTTTTCTAGTCACATTAGTGTCAAGAAAGCCGTATTTCGCTATCTTGCAAATATAGAACAAATCTACAATACTTTGCTTAATTTGTAAAAAAGTTATGGTTTTTTTCTTTTTAAAACCCTCGCATAACAAACTTGTAGCTTGAAATCTATTTTTCGAAACTTTATAATTAGAGATTTCTCAAGCAACGGCTCGTCTAATGAGTCATAATAAACTATCTTAAAAGATTGAGAAAATTAAAATAAATAGTTAGTCTGCCGCTAGCATTCGGTAAGAAATGATCTTTTACTAAATATCCTCTAAATAAATATATCCACTATATATGAAACTTAAATAGAAATTGATGACTTACAGTTTCACCCTTTTCGCCGATACCTAAGAAAAGTAAATCATTTTCTTCCAAATCAAATTTAGCTATCAATTCTTGTGCTACCTCCGTTGTAAGGAGATTAGTTAAACGTTCCAAAACGTCTTTGTATTGCTTTAAATTTAAAAAGAAAAATTTGCATATATAACAGAATGACATATACATATATATATATATATATAAATTTACTTTGAATCGAAAGCTTACCATAAATTTGCGTACAAATAAAGTGCCTGGAAATTCTTTGCTAAGACTCTCGTAATGTTTGCGAGCTGTACTATTCCAGAAGCCTTCATTGCCGCGCACAACTAAAGCATATGAAGCCATATCAGTGTATTTCTCCATAAATGTTTGATTCTTCTCAATAATATCGGTAACATTACATAGCTAGAAAAAAAATTTTTTTGTTTTTGTAATTGAAAACAATTTTAGATTGAAATAGTATACAGATCGTACAGTTAAACCAAATCTTATGTCGGGCTTGTCAGTACCATATTTTTCCAAGGCTTCTTCATATGTGATGCGGCGGAATGGTGTTTGTATTTTAGAATATTCTTTGGGCCATGAATATCGTAGTACCTCTTCAACTAATTGCATAATACCTTCTCGATTGGTAAACGACAATTCAATATCAAGTTGAGTGAATTCCGGTTGACGATCTGGTCGTGTGGCTTCGTCACGATAACAGCGAGCTACTTGAAAATAGCGATCTATAGCACCCGCCATTAACATTTGTTTGAATTGTTGTGGGCTTTGCACCAAAGAGTAGAAATGCCCCGGCTTACGAGTGGGCACCACAAACTCTTGGGCTCCGCCAGGTGTACGACAGAACAAAGTAGGTGTTTCCACTTCGACAAAACCCAAATAATTAATAAGATATTCGCGCATACGCATAATAACCTGTGATCTCATGCGCAAGTTATGCTGCATATCAGCGAACCTAAGGCGAAGAAAATAAATAAAAATATTAAGGATATTTCATTCGCCTATAGGCGATTTTTGAATACCCACCACCTAAAGTGAACACATAAAGACTTATCTTGATGATAGATCATCTAACTGGACTATTGTAGATTATCGATAAAAACGTTTTGTGGTCCTTTCGAAGACTCTTAAGTTATTGTGGGCATATGCAGAGGCGGACAATGCCCATTTTCGAATTCATCTCAGAATGTACGTAGCAAACGTCAACTTCTAATCTTAGTTCTTGCAAGTTGGAAAATTCCAGCAACAAATGCAGAAACTAAAAACGGACATAACTAAACCGAAACAGAATTTTACACTAATAAAGAATATATCGATTTTAAACTTCAAATTCAGAGTTTTAAAGTTTAAACGATTTTTTTGCAACTGTTTAGCATAGATTCGATGAATTTATATATGTAGATATGTATACATATATAGCTTCAAATTTTTATATTCCAAAGTTGATCAATGACTTACACGAATAAATTTAAGCTATAATTGCTACTATTAACAAGTGATTTCCATACAATTTACATAAATTTCGTTTTGGAAACATTTTCTTTAAATCGGATAAATCAAAAATAAACATGACTGTCGCTTCAACTTTGTTAGGCATTTCCTGGCTAAGCCTTCATCTGCGAGCGACATCCTTCCCTGCATTAAGGGAAAAGCATTTAAAATCAAAACGCCAAGCTCACTGCACTATGGCTCATCTCTACTTTTTTTTTAAATGCATTTCTCTACTAACTAAGGGTTAAGTTATTCCGCTTTATAGGAATGAAAAATGAAGAATTTTATGAGCAAGCAATAACACCAACTTTAATCCTTTTAATTACATGGTAAGTAGTTAGACGTGTGTAGTCTTTTTTATACCATTATATGAAATATAAATGTATTTCTTGTTTAAAGAATTTTTCTTTTTAACACAAACCTCAATGACTATTTATTTTGCAATTTTAAGATGTGGGCTTTGACCTGAATAGAAGGGAATTTGAAGTTTAAGATTCATATATACTCTTTACGAGGACTGCAACGCATACTTTTGGATGTTATAAAGTTAATATACCTCCATGCTTCGGTAATGGGTAAAAATATGTAATCACACGAAATAAAGAATAAAAGAGAGCGCATTCTTAGGGAGAAAATTGGATACCCACCGCCTCGATCCGAAATATTCATCAGCTGAACTCCATACCATATATTACGGGTGGCCAACAGGTCGACCGCAAAGCGGTTTATGGATGATGCCAGCCAACAGGAAACAAACTTAACATTGATACGTACTTGAATGAAGAAACTTAGGTTGCTCGTCAAAAATTGAGTAGATCGATCGCGAACCATCTTTAAGAAAAAAAGTCGATCATACAAAGACAGAAGTTGGCCACCCTTGCCATATATGATATGGCAGTGCGAGTGACATATGAGTACATAGGATGAATGTATAAAACTAAGGGCGTGGTTGCATACATGTTATACTTGTTATATATTTGATACCATTTCCGCGGTGTAATTAACAATATTTGTGGCACATTTGGACTCTGCACCCAATTCTTACGCCTGCAGTGGTGTCTGGGAAAACGGACATGGCGACCATTTTCTACGTCCTTAGCTCTATTTCTCACTCTTTCAATATTCGCGATGAATAATGGACCTCAATGGACAGACACGGCTAAATAGGCTTTTAATCTCATATTGGTTTTGTATACTTAGCGGAGTTTTGGGTGAGTACTTCCAAACAGAATGACAGAATTACTATACACCCAACGCCTGGTTGGTGGGTATAAGCTTAAGAATTTCTTACCTCAAATCTATATAACGATGCGTAAGACGTAGGCGTTCACCAGCTCTATTAAATTTACGCACTTCGAAGGGTAAATTTTTCTTTGCTGCATTCAACACCTCCACCTTTTCTGCTTCAACTTCAATGTGTCCAGTTTTCATTTTCGGATTTATTGTGGCTGCCGGACGTGGTATGACTGTGCCCTCTACCTTCACAATTGTCTCCAAGGACAAGCCATCTGGATAACTTTCCAAACCTTTCACCTTATCGGTCAGCAACACTTGCGTTTGGCCATAGCCATCGCGTAAAACCAAAAATTTACCCATACGCTGAAACTCTAGCCAGCCACATATCGACACTTTTTCTCCAATATTGTCACTGGCCAATTCACCACAATTATGCGAACGGTCAGCAAATTTATTTAAATCCGCCACTTTAACAACTTTATGTGTGCTTGTATCGCTGTCCTCCATGGCTTCGCCGTTTTTTTCTGACGCCTCACCGTCCTCTTCATCTAGATCGTCAATGGATAATTTTTGGACTTTATCTTTAGCTTTGATAGGACCATCATAGGGATCTTCGGGGTTTAAGATCTTAACTGTTTCGACCATAACCTCAACCTCTCCAGTTTCGTACTTCTATAATAACAAAAAAAACGTCCATTGAAGATTTCGTATTCAATTTAATTTAGAGATTTTCCTTACCATATTAATATTAGCGCGTGGTCTGCCTAAAACTTTACCAGTTATTAATAGCACAGTATGATCAGGTGCACTGGCGCAAGTTTCCTGCATCTGCATAATTAAAAAGTTAAAAAAAAAATGGGAAAAACCAATTTTATGAGATAAAAAAACTTACTACTTGATCTTCCACAACAATTTGAGTCTGACCATAACCATCTTTCAGTTGCATGAATTTAGTGTTTTTAGCTGATGGTATCCAACCCACAAGGGTAACATCTTTACCAATGTCTTTGCGACGCAAATCATTGCACGTTATATCACGATTTTCAAAATATTTCAATATATTTTCAGATTCTAAACGCAATGAGTTTGGAAATTAACACACTATCATTTGTATTTATAACAATTATACTTACTGGCCATTTTATACTCAGTACTAGTGATGCCAGTATAATTTTGCTGAGCCATCGTACTATATGAACGTTTGTCTCCCGGTCGTTTATTCCCAGCACTAAAGTCAATATTCAAAATCTCTTGTACTTCCACCTCAATGTCGCCCGTCGGCATAGTTTGATTACATGAATGAGACGGCCTTTTCATTACTTGCCCAACGATAGTTAGCAAAGTATACTCCGGCATATTTTGTATTCGTCTAGCTATCCGAGGATACTGAAAAATGCATGATATTGTTACTTTTCAGATGATTTATTCGAAGAGAAGATTATATGCTGTTACCTTATCTTCCAGAACCACCATTTGAGCTGCCCCGCCATTACGATCCCTTAATTCCACAAAACGGTTAACTCGTTTTTTAATAAGACGACCTGTAAGTTCCACTATCATTCCGGCATGATGTGCGCGTAATTCGCCACACGACATTCGAGCCGGTGGTGGTGGGGGAGGATTCATATTGAAACCACTAGCCATCGCACTCATTAATTGCATCAAACCATTTTGATTAAAATTATTCGGCACTACAGAAAGGCATTGCTAAAAAGGTTCACTTTAAAAGAAGTCATTTAAACACTTACTATTAAAGGGATTCATGCCGTTGCCACCAAAGTTATTGTAACCACCTTGATAGTTATCGTAACCGCCACGGCCGTAACCTCCATCACCATAGCCGCCACCGCCGCTCCAGCGACCACCACCATTTCCGCCTCGTAAATTATGACGACCACCCATCATCTTTTCGTATTTTAAAATTACTATTTTTTCTCAGAAACCATATTCAAGAAAATAAAAAATAAGACTTACGTGATTTCCAAACTTTAATCTCGTATTAGCTATTAATACAAAGTCTTCTATTGCTGTTGTGTGATGTCTTATATATGCGGTGGTTATTGTTGTCTGCTCTACAGTTTCCGAGCAAACCGGTAAAATAGAACGTAAATTTGTTAACTGCTTTAAATATTTAACTCTCTGTTTCGAAATTATTAACATATTTTAAATTTAGTTAAAATAGATAATCTAATGCTTCTTTATGCGATCTCCCTTTCTTACGCCAAAAGAAAAAAACGCATGCAGAACATTTATCTCACACAATGAAAGAAATTGCTGCCGCACTAAATGTAACACGCACACAGTATACGAACACATTAGCACAAGATTACAAAAAATACCCCCATGAATAGCTCATAAAAGCCGATAACATGAAATATCGACTTAAACGAGTGGCAGAAAAAATCAACGAAAAAATGGTAGAAACTCTTTAACCTCACCTTATAAAAAGTTTGCCGCTAATTTTCTAGTTTTTTAGCTATTAAAACACTTATTTCTTAGGTTTTTTGGTAAACCTTTTTAAATTGTTAAAACTTTATAGTTTTTTAATAAATTTCACTATATTTTTTTTCCGTTTTCGTGCTAAAATTTATTAATAAATCACGGAGAACTTCAATTTTAATTTGCACAGACAGACGACGGAGTAAGACGACGCTAGTTTGTATGTATGCAAGAATTACCATATCCGAAAGATGGAATATATATTAAAGCAGCTTTTAGCAGTATTTCTAGTTTTTTTTGTGCTTTGCTGTCAACAATCTATCTTGTTGTTCAACGGCGTGGATTGCGGGTTGTGGGTAATTAGCGCACGTTGAAATTAAGAAGAGCCTATATCTAACTATGCATTTTAATGCCATATTCATCGACTTTTAAGCGTTCTACAATATAAATTTTTCAATGATTAAATTACAAGGATAGTATAAGGTTAAGAAGATCGATTTTGTCTCGGCTAGACACATTTATAAAAACATCAATGTTCCATTCCATTGGTAATAATATAGTAACCAAATATTTTTGTTTTCGTTTTTTCTTACAACTGTACATTATTAATCAGGTAATGACAGCAATACCTTATTCATGTTGGAAGTCACAAACGAAATAATCGCAAATCTTATGCAGGTTAAGTTATTAAGTTATTTTGCATTAATGACACTTTCTCTTGTTTTGTTAAAGGTCAACAGAAGAACTTATTTGAACCCATTTTATACTTTAAATTGAAATCTTTACATTTTCCTGCCATAGTGCAGGCAGTATTCCTCCTGCATCCAGACATTTTTATTTTGTTCTCATGTTTTAATCGACGATAAAGAAAAGACTGCAGAAATAACAATTCTGCTTACGCAGGTGTAATTTTAATAATCACATTTCAAAAATTGCAAAAAATTTCAGTTTATACACATTTGTGTAGAAAGACCAATTTTAGACTTGTGTGCATGCAAAATGCCCATCAACGTGCATGGTCAGTTATTATCTACTGAGGTGTATCCACTTACAGTTTATATGATCGTATTACACGCGCTTTTTCAAAAAAAAGTTCCCTTCTCATACCAAGAAAATTTTCCAATAAACGATTAAAACGATTAAGTATGCAAAAATTTTCATGATGCCGTATCGGCGTTGCCGAAAAAGAAAGCGCGCAAATTCAGCAAGGAATGGTTCAATTGTTTGTTGCATCGTTTTTCTCATCGTCATCATCATCCTCGTTCCGATTCGGCGGATTTGCTCACACAGGTAATTACTTCTTTTAACACTAAACGATTTTTTAACACAGCAGCGTAATAGAAATTTTTGATTATTTTCAATTCAATTCAATGAAACTGTTGAGCTGCAGCTAATGCTGCTTATAACAGGTAAGAAAGTATTCTATACAGAAGAGTCGCCACTTAGCGACCATTGTTCGTTTCTACACTTTCAAAGGGCAGGTCCGGCAAGGTATTCTGTGTACTGGAAATTTCGATTTCCGGTTGCAACAATGTTCAACAAGTGTGCGCATATTTATTTGACGTATAACTTGATCTCTCTTTTTCTCACTGAATGTATACCTATCGAACTAGCAAATGAATAAAAGCGGAGATGATTCATGCTAGTATTAAGTGAGACGCGATCGTGAATGCATGTGAACTTTGTTTTGTACGAATTCCAACAAGGAAGAAAGGCTATAGAAGGTGTCGGAAGTTATTGGAAACATTTGGCGAAGGTATAGTTTCTGATAGGATATGCAGAAGATGGGTCGCAAAATTTTATATAGATGTTTTCTATTTTTCTGATAACCCGTGCTCTGGGCGGCCAGTTTTCATTGACGATGATGCTATCAAGGTCATGTCCGGCAAAATCTCTTTTTGACAATCGGAAATTGCAGAAAGGCCCGATTCAACTTAACAAACCATTTCGGAATATATTCGGAAGCCCGGATTTTGGTTCATTCTAAAAACGGACAGAACTTTCCTATTACACTTTTCTCATTAACGTTATTAGTGCAGTCGATTTAGCCGCATGTTTTGCCAACCCATTGAAATTACGATTACAATTTCAAAACTTGGTCTAGCATGTTCTTTTTTTCTCGTTTTTTTTTCCCCTAATGTATCCTATAAAACAAATGGCGTCAAAATATTCCGTTTTTCAGAAAAAACGCTCTTGGCGATTTAGAGTTAGACCCATGGGTAAATACAATAGAGCGCGCGAATAGTTATTGGCTATGCGGGCTTATCTCAAGCTTGTCTTAAACTACGAAGAAATAAATTTATGTATATAAAGAGGAGAACGCGCAGTGGCAGATAATTTTAATAAATTTCTTGAAGCGAATCAGTTGGAACCCGTTAAGTTACATAAAGTAGTATATGCACATATATAAATGCAATGAAGTTTAACTTTTGGACATTTTGAATAAATCCTCCGACTGATTTAATTGCATGAAATGCCTTGGATTTTCTTAATCGCAAAACATTGTAACATAAATCCGCAGATCCCATTGTTTTAAGTAAAAAGAACTGAAATAAACAAAGAATAACTAATTTTTCCACATCGTTAATCCAAAGTTGCCACATCCAAAGTTATACAGAGCATCTCAAGGTGGGATTTGCTAGCATTTGCGTTAGGTTGAAAACAGATAAAATCCTTCCACGTGGTAAACTTAAGCGTCGAAGCGTAAACACATTAGCCAAAAATTTCTTTTGTTACTAGAAATAAATTGATACTGGTTTCTTTTTTTTTTTAATATTTAACAGTATTTACACGTTTTACATTATTAAAAAAGATCTTAACAAAAAAGAAATCCTTATTTTGTTATTTTTAGGATTAATAAATGTTTCGATGAATTCTTATTCTTATAAGAAGTTTAAATGCATAATCACACAAACGAAGAAGTTCAATTAGATAAGTACCGCAACCTTACGTTGCCTCCCTTAAATGGTTTTAAAATTCGTTGTAAGTGGTACTGTTCAAAGCTTCTTTGAAATGAGTTACAACATAGTCATGGTAATACATCATAATAGATAGCGGTTGACCCAAAATAATGGACGCCCATACAACAATGTTTCCCATCCGTGGCCCCAAACTTCGCTCAATAGACTTTGATAAAGTGGATAAAGGTATTTGACCCATCATGCCAAGAAATGCCCAAATTTTGTAAGTTTGTAAAGGGATTGATACCTGAAGATAAAAATTCAACAGTTTCTTGTTCTAATATAAAAAAATTAACCTTACAAAATATTCGTGGAAAAAAGCACTAACAAAAAAAACGATACAAGAACCTTGGCTGTTGGAATAACCCATCCGTACTACTGGTATATATATATGGCGAACACACCACCTAATATATTTTTTTAAGGTTTGAAAGTATTAAAGGTGTTTAGCAAAAATATCAATATACCATACCTATGTACCGGCATATTCCAATTGCGCCAAAATACATCAATGTTGCGTGCGTTCCACCAATCTCCATAGAAATTACGATCAGCAAAGTGCAATAATTCTCCGACAGCATTTAGAAGCGAATGGAATGTTAAATAGAAGAAACATAACCATACTAGATGATTGGGCAACTGAAAAGTTGTCTATTATATTAATAAAGTTACTTTTGAATTGATCAAACATCACTTACGGCTAATTTAAGCAAACGTTCTGTAGCTAACCCTATTTCCATATTCGAAAAAGGTATTAGAGAATTTCTGACGGACGGTATAATCCACTGTTGAAATAGAGCCATTAAAACATTTACACCAATTATTACTTCCAGCAAACGTTTTAAAAGAAAACGCTTTCTGACACGCGTTGTACGAGGGAAATTCAACTCGTAACATAAAGTTGGAGCAAATAGAAAATAAAACATGTCCCTATAGCAGAGATTATCAGGATATTGTACTAGAACAGGCACATCTTCATCGTTATCGTCTGGTTCGTTTAACTGACCATTTTCTGTAATCATAACAGGGAATATACCAAATACAACTTAAAAGCTTCTGACATACTTAACTGAGCCAACGTTATGCTGGGACGTCTTTCTCTGGGATTATATTGCCGCATGAAATAAGCTTGACGGCACCACATATTTACCTGAACGTAGCTCCATAACTTTAGGAAGATCATTGAATAAACGAAACACACTGTGGTAGCGCCAACTTAAGAAAAAAAAAAGGGGTAAAACAAATCTACGATATAGTTTTATTCTCCCCGCCGAAGGACAATGATACTCTAATATCCTCATCGTCTTTACTGAAAGCCGATGTTTATCTCATAAAATGCAAAGAGCATCAGGTTCAAAGTGAATTTAATCGTTCGCCTGGTCGCCATTTTATAGTGAATAGCCGGAACATTGGTGCATGAATTGTTTGCTGGCTAGTATATGCAAAATTGAAAGAACTTCATATGTAGCAATATGTGGAGGATTGGAAAAGTTTTCGATCCGCCCACATATAGGCTGGCAATATCACAGAACTGAAAAATGAATCTAAAAAACGATCATTCCCGTTATGTTTGCAGTATCACCTATCGTTTTGAAAACCAGTTTAAACGTTTAACGTAAAAATTGTTCAAGGTTCAGTAACCACTTCGTAGGTAAGGAGGTTCGCTTATTATTATTTCAGGCGGGAAGTACCAAAGGCTCGCATCAAAGCGAACATAATCTTCTTATTTTGTTTTTAATTTTAAATAGACTTACTTAAGGTGAAAAGATGCCCTTTTAGATAGGTAATAATTACTGGCAAGATAACTACAACAACTATATTAGTAATTTGCATAAACATACCCAACCTTTCAGTTATAATTTCCTAAAACACAAAATAAATAGATAAATAAATTAATAGTAGATAATAATATAAACCTTAATATAATTTCTCAGATGCAAGTTTGCTTTGATTGGAATTTAACAAAAATAGAACGTTAGTCCTGCCAAAAATTTAAAATCCATCATCATTTAGGGCGAAGTTTTTGGGCTAAGCAAGTTTAAATCACTTCATTAGCTTTGTAAATCGTCATCGTAATAATATAAATTTTTTTCTTCAACTAATGCTAAATAAATATAGCTTCCGAAGTTTCCAAAAAAATATTCCGTAAATTTCTGCACAAATTTGTAACCAAAATGAAAATATATGCAGCCTAACAGAGAATGCGCTTTAGCTTTTATTCAAATATTGCGAAATTTGTTATGTATGCACTTCTGCTCATTTGTATGCATTTAAAATTAACAGTGTGGCATCTCTATCTTTTTATTTTAGCATTCGGAGTGGTGTGCTTGGGTAAATATATTTGCGGCAAAGCAGCAAACCATCAAAAGTTTTGTTGAAAAAGTTTGCAAGTTTAGAGTTTTGTTAAATATTTCTGTTTATTGGCTTAGTCCATCTCTGTTCAACATACCAAAAAAAAAAATATATATTTCTGTTAAAAGAAAGAAGAAATTGTTCAATTTTCGTAATAGAAGCTGAAGTTAAGTAGAATTTCACAATGGAGATAAATGAAGCAAATTTGCAGCAATTGGCCGGCTATTTGCAGCAGACGCTTAGTCCAGATCCTAATATAAGGAGACCGGGTATTTAAAATTTTCTAGCTTTGGAAATCTTTTCTCTCATAATATATAATTTGTGAATATCAATTACAGCCGAAAAATTACTAGAATCTATTGAAGCGGAACGTCACTATCCTGTATTGTTATTGAATTTAATTGACAAAAACGACATGGACGTGACCACACGTGTGGCTGGCTCCATAGCTTTTAAAAATTATATTAAACGTAACTGGGCTGCCCATGAAGTAAGTTTGAATCATTTGGATGGGGTTTATAATTTTAATTTAAATTCATTTGCTTCTTGTTAGGATTCTGACGGCCCAGATAAGATTCATTCAGAAGATCGCGAAGCCATAAAAAAATTAATTGTTAACTTAATGTTGCGTTCTGCGCCGGCTTTACAGAAGCAATTAAGTGATGCCGTTAGCATAATTGGTAAACACGATTTCCCCAAGAAGTGGCCTTATCTTATAGATGAAATGGTAGAGAAATTTTCTACTGGTGATTTTAACGTTATAAACGGTGTGCTACAAACTGCTCATTTATTATTCAAACGATATCGTTACGAATTTAAATCTCAAGCTTTGTGGGAAGAAATAAAATTTGTACTAGATCGCATATCTAAGCCCTTAACCGATCTATTATTAGCTACCATGCAACTGAGAAAAGCACATGAAAATAATGTCGAAGCCTTAAGAGTTATTTATGGTTCTTTGGTATTGGTGTGTAAGGTTTTCTTATCACTAAACTCGCAAGACTTGCCAGAATTTTTTGAAGACAATATGCCAACATGGATGAAAGCGTTTCACGAATTACTTACAGTAGATGTGGCTTGCTTGCATACCGGTGAAAACGAGGAGGCTGGTGTTCTTGAACATTTGCGTTCACAGATATGCGAGAATATTGGCTTATACGCTCAAATGTATAATGAAGAATTTGGGGCTTATATGGAAACATTTGTTACTGCAGTTTGGGAGCTTTTGCTAAGAACGGGCATGCAGCCAAAGTATGATGCGGTATGTATGCTCTAATTTTAAAGGGAATTGTACATTAAAAATGTTTATTTATGGTCTTTTTAATTCTGAAGTTGGTTTCCAATGCTTTGCAATTCCTCTCGGTGGTAGCCGAACGTAATCATTATCGAAAAATTTTTGAGAATCCTGAAATACTTGCTAATATTTGCGAAGGCGTGGTTATACCTAATTTAGACTTTCGACAGTCTGACGAAGAACTCTTCGAAGACAGCCCGGAGGAATACATAAGACGTGACATTGAAGGCTCGGATGTGGATACTAGACGTCGGGCTGCCTGCGATTTAGTTAAAACTCTATCGCAAAATTTTGAGGATAAAATATTTGCTATATTTGGTCGATATTTGGAAATTTTGTTGAATAAGTATAAGGAGAATCCTACGCTTAATTGGAAAGCGAAAGACACCGCCATTTATTTGGTTACATCGTTTGCCTCACGTGGTGGCACTCAAAAACATGGTGTTACACAAGTTTCTGAACTGGTACCGTTGCCGGAATTTTGTGCTCAACAGATTATACCAGAATTGGAAAGAGCGAATAGTAAAAAAGAAAAATTTAATTTTTTTGGAGCTCACATTGCTTAAAATAATTTTATTTTCAGTTAATGAAGTTCCTGTTTTAAAGTCGGCCGCATTAAAATTTGTCATGGTATTCCGCAGTTTGCTCGGTCAACAAACTTTGCTCATTTGTATGCCACATCTGATACGCCATTTACCTGCTGAAAGCGTAGTTGTGCACAGTTATGCCGCTTGTGCCATTGAGCGAATATTAGCCATGAGAGATCCGAGTAACAATTTGCTGTAAGTTTATTTAAAATACTAATAAAGTGTAGTAACGGCATGGGAATAATATTACAGTATGACACCACAACTTTTGGCTCCTTTTACTAATGATTTATTGGCACGTTTATTTGCTACTCTGACATTACCTGGATCGACGGAAAATGAGTACGTCATGAAAGGTAAGCGGAAAACCGAAAAAATTACAATTTTTTTCTCTATATTCTTACATTTCTCTTCAGCTATTATGCGAAGTTTTTATTCCCTGCAAGAGGGTACTTTGCCTTATATGGAAGTGGCTTTACCCAGACTCACAGGAATACTATCTATGGTGGCAAAGAATCCCTCTAGACCTCATTTTAATCACTATTTGTTTGAGACTTTGTCTCTGGCCATAAGGTTAACTCCCATTATTCTTTGCTTTTATCCATAAACTTTTCTAATGATCTATTTAGAATTGTTTGCAATGCTGAGCCTGCTGCTGTGAGTTCCTTTGAAGAAGTCTTATTCCCGGTATTTCAAGGCATTTTACAGCAGGATATTTTGGAGTTTATGCCTTACGTATTTCAAATGCTTTCCCTACTTTTGGAGATACGTGAAAATTCTGGTTCCATATCAGAACCGTATTGGGCTTTGTTTCCTTGCCTTTTGGCTCCTCCTCTTTGGGATCGATCAGGCAATGTAACACCTCTTATAAGACTGATAAGTGCATTTATTAAGCAAGATTCCAATCATGTTGTAGCACTTGGGAAATTGGTAAGACAACGTTTTAACAAATATTTTCATGAATATTTTATGCAAATTTCCTTTTCTAGAGTGCCATCTTGGGTATATTCCAGAAAATGATTGCTTCGAAGTCCAATGACCATGAAGGATTTTACCTTTTGCAAAATCTCTTAAATTATTATCCTTTAAGTGAATTGCAAAGCAATATGCGACAGGTCTTTGCTTTACTATTCCAGCGCTTGTCCCTTTCAAAGACAACTAAATATGTACGCGGTATTATAGTTTTCTTTTGCTATTATGCTTCGAAATTGGGTGCTTCCGCTTTAGTGGAACTTATCGATCAAATTCAGGCCAATATGTTTGGAATGGTAATTGAGCGTGTATTTATTACCGATATGACTAAGGTAACCACCGAATTAGATCGCAAAATTGTTGCAGTGGGCATCTCAAAAATTCTTACTGACTGCCCAGCCATGCTTTCGCAGCCCTATGTACAATACTGGTCTAAATTATTGCAATCTTTGGTAGAGCTCTTTGAATTGCCACCAGACAAGACTATTTTGGACAGTGATAATTTTGAGCCTGACAATGCTGGTGGTTATCAGGCTGCTTTCTCGCAATTAACTTATGCTCAGCCAAAGGTACAAGATCTTCTTCCTGATGTCAGCGACGGTCGAAAATATTTAGCAGACTCTTTAAATAAATTATCACAATCTCGCCCTGGCGAAGTATCTCAGCTGGTGGCGTCCATTGGTGATAACTACAAGCAAGCTTTACAAAAGTACTGCGATGAAGCAGGTGTGCGCATAATTTAAGAAGTCTCAATTATTCTATTTTTTTTTTTTTTTTTAAATTCTTTTTTACTCATTCCTTCCCATTGTCGCTAATTTTGCCTTTAAATTATGATTGATTCTTTTATGTTAAACCGTTTATACTCTAAATTCTTTTTCTTTAATGAGTTTTTTACTTTATTAGTTCTTTATTATATATAATACAGAAAAAACAAAAAAGATGATATAATAAACTAAGAAACATTACTTGTTTGATACAACACCACAATTTTTAGTAGTCTACAATCCCTAAAAGAACCAATGGAACATAACATCAAATGAAGAGGTTAGTCAGAAGCGAGTGAATACTCTCTCGGGAATGTCATTATATAGATAAACATCTCATCTGTTAAAGAGGATTTTCGAATAACAATTGAAACAAATATATATGCTTCGATGAACTAAATGAAATGAAAGATTTATATTGAACTGGCTTTCAGTAAGTTGACGAAATTTCTGTAAGATACGTTTTATTCTCTCTCGTTTAACAAAAAGCGTGTACATGTTTAATAACAAAAAATAACAAAAAAGAAGACGTAAGCTAGATATGCCTAACTATAAATTCATGTTTCCAATTGGGAACTGTAAACACGTTGATCTGCTGCAATTTTCATTTGCTATGTTACCTAAGCTCTATAAAAAGCACAACACTTGTTGTTGGGCAATTAACACATTATTACTGTAATCTTCTTTACGGTACTATTGCTAAAGTTTTATGAATTAATTTAGGTCAATAAGGGCTTCTACATAGAGATAAGAAATATTTAATACTGAAAAGACGAAATGCTTTTAGAATTTGGGGACATATTTTCAAAATGTTATGGCTTTCATCGTTTTTTTTTTTTTTAATTAATTTCAGAAATGTGCAGTTTTCCCCTAACTCACAATCTTTACTGAAAACGGTGCAAGTTGAATGCGATTAGTTAAAATGTTGCTAGTTAATAACGTTTTAAAAATTTCTAAGAAAAGTTGATAGACCCATTCTTAGCATTCAATTAGTGAGGAGTAGGTTACATTTGACTCTTGGGGTCAAATCCTCTCTATCGCCTACAAGCGACTATAAAGTATTTCTTTGCAGTCTGCCGATATCTAGATACCGTACGCAGAATGTAGCGTACTTATCGTATGTGTTTCGATCAGAAGGGTAATCGTGCAGTTGAAAGTTAGCTTTCCTTTCTACTAAACAACATCGAAAACTAAATTTTTCGTACTTGATTATCCCTCATATTTTATATATATTGTAGAAAATTTGTGTAGACAAAATATTTATTTACAAATTCTCCTGGGTATAAAGACATTTTTACTTAACATAGTGAATCATTTGGGTGATAATTATGCAGCTGACTGTTAACTTTCGCTTTGGCATCCAATCATTTTTGCGATACGACTGAATACAAAAACGAAATCTAAAAAGAAGAAGACATATTTCGCAGATAATTTGGAGACTGAATTAAAATTTTAAATTAGAAAGATAAAAGTTTGATGGTCACTGTTCGGAAAAACGGAGCAAAGTACGAACTCTTTTCTTATTATTACATTTATTATAGGGATGGGCGTTTAGTGATCAATATCGTGATTTCAACATAGAAGCAGATAAGAGACTTGTAAGGAGATAGTCTAAACCGACTTCGCTATTCGTAGTTATTAGTAGGGTATATGTATATATACATATGCATGTAGGACGTGTGACTCTGCAAATTACAATAAATGGTCGTTCACCGTCTGAAATATGTACCAAATAAATCTCTCGGCCTTATTCAAACATGCTTCTCTTTCTGTTTACCGCTCGCTTAGTAAAATTGGGTTTTAAATTTCACGCTAATAGCTCGAGTAGTTAATGAGGCAAGCATGTTTACTTTTAAATAAGATTTTGAGCGCTTGTGGAACAATTTTAGTTGAATTTCTGGTGAACGAGTCTTGAGGGGCCAATGTGATGTCAAAAGTTATTTTGTCGCGAGACACCTAAGCAGCTTAAATTAAATCAATTGCGGGATGTTGACAATCTTTCTAAATGCGGAGAAAATCCTTGACGTGGTGTTCGTCAGTCAACACGGAAGAACGATGAGAGCGTTGGTTGCATTCAATATCTCCAACGTTTTTTTAGTTTTCTTTAGGAAGTTTATGCCGATTAAAAACACATACGCTCTAAACCATGTATTCTGCCTTTAAAAATCAAAAAAAAAAGTTTTTTTCCTTGAAACAGAACAAGTGCATCGTAATAACCAATTTACCGCACATAACGAATATATGCAGCATAAGAAGTCCGTCCGTCCTTTTCGGATTTCCTCATCAACTTTTATCATTACGAATGTGTGTTTGCCATAATGTATATTGGAACGTGTGTATGCCATTTTGTCAAGTTATTTCATTATTACCCAATGCCACATTTCACATACCTTGCGTATGACGTGTATACTTGTCATCGCTAAATTTTTGCGATACAATTTAAATGCACATATCCCAAGGAGGTTGGTACAGTTCGTTTTTTAATTGCTAAAGATATTGGTATGAAATATGTCATAGTTGTTAGGGAGAGAACGGGAGAAAAAAAAAAACTAATCACTTGGTTAAGCTTGCGTGGTTGGGAAGTTGCTATTACTTTTTGGTCATACCAGCCTATCGTTTACATATATTCTTTGTTAACATGCTTAGGCAAACTGATTTAAAGATTTTTTTGCTTGGGATTACAATTTTCAGCTCAAAGATTTGTGAAAAGTTTTAATTTTGTCTTTTTCACAAATAATGGCATCAAAATTGTGGAAATTTCAGCTAAAAGTTCCTAATAAAATCTCCACAAGAAATTCGAAAATCGCTTAGTTTGTTTCGATGGCTCATGAACAGCTATCAACACACCATGCATGAGTGCGTGCGCTTAGCTTAAAAATATGGTTTTTATACGCGTGACACAGCGCAAGTTTGGGCACAACAGATTGAGTTTATTTTCATAACGGCACAACATTAACATTGGCATTAAGCTTGTGTCAAGTTTCTTTTGTTATTTTAAGTTATCAAAGTTCAACATTGATTTTTGGAGCAAAGTTCACAAATTTGAGAAAAATTTACAAATTTACAAACTTTGTATCAAAGTTCAATCAAGGTATCGCGCTTTATTTGCGCGAATTGATTTCTGTTATACGTCGTAATCGTTCCGATAAGCAAACAATTAAATGTTTTGCACAAAAACAAAAAAAAAAACAAAAAACAAAACAAATCTAACTGGCGCATTCAATTCCTAACATTTCCGTTGTGAACAGATACGTACAGAGAGATGATATGGCGATGCGGTCGTAAACCGCAAATTTTGCACTTCTTTTTTTGGAAATAGGATCTTATAGGATCAGCTTGCGGTTTACTAAAGACACGCATTACAAGTTACCCATATTCCATAGGTAATCTTAAGAAAACGGCAACATTCGGTTAGTAGAAGTGAAGTTCTTCATGCGACACTCTTAGCAAAAAGGCCTAAGCTTATGTTTACAATAAATATCGATTCATGTCATGATCTAAAATCTGACACAAATACCTGATAGTGTTATATTAAGAGATAAAGCTGTATTGCGAATTTTTTCCACTTCCATGCTTTCTTTATTACTGATACTGATTTTTTCAGGCCTCTCTTAAAGTCATTCGTGGCCCACTAAGATATTCCAATCCAAAGATTGATTAACACCACTCTCTTGCCCTTTCCGTTCACGGCAACGAGATAGCCACTCTAATTTTCAAATAAGTAAAGAATGATGATGTCGTGAGCCCAAAAATCACATCGAACCGTTACTTTTACGTAATGTAAAGGTGAATAATTTACGAACTGACTCGTTTGTTTTTTCACTTAACTACTGAGATCAAAATGATCTTCATTTAAGCAGATGATTTTCTTAAAAAATTGCACAGGAGGTTGCGATAGGAGAACAATTGTTCCGCTATAAAATTTTAGCAATATCAAAATGTTGTTGAAACAACATTGTTTGCTTTACTGTACGCAATTAACTAACGTAGTGTAATTTTGGATATTTAAAATATGATCGGAATGTTGAAAAGAAATTATGTCATCTCTAGGGATGAATCCTGCATATGCTGTGAAAATTCACTAGATGAGAATAAGTGGATTTAAAATTTCGGCAAAACTCTTACTTAACCGACTGCAGCGTGAACGACTGCAGCAATATGCATACTTACCAAAGCAAGACCTTTTTCTATCATCAGGCATATCGATATGTGCACAATGGAATCTATAAAGTAAACAATTCAAATTTATCATAATTGTAATTATGTAACAGTTTCGCTTTGTAATTAAAAAAAAAAAAAAAAAAAAAGGAACAGGAGAAAAAGAAAGACTTACATAATATGAGGAAAAGTGAAGCGTGACCTTCAGCTTGATTTTTACCGCTTAAAAAGAAATACCATTCAATTGGATTTATTCTAATGCCGTATCTGTAAAGTAATGGGGACCACTTTTTATTCGCTTTGCAGAAATACTAAGTGACGAAGTATTGGCTTACTTTAGTAAATTTTCCAAGCATAATCTAAAACCACCTATGGTTAGTAATAGGAAACCCCAGTTAACTAAGCCGGTAAAATTACTAAAACCTGAACTCCAAGAAAATAATGAATCTCTCGGGCGATGGCATCTAATGTAAATGCGAAAAAAGGCAAAAAAATAAAAAAAAAAACAAAATTGAAAATAGTAAATAGATATAAACCAAAATAAAACAAAACAAAAAAAAAAAAAAAAATAAAAAAAATAGTGTAAATTATATTTTTTATTTCTTGTTTGTGGGTTATTGCTTACGGTTTATCTGGTTGTTTTTGTCGTTGCTTTTCTTCTTTGGTGGTAATCTCTTCAGCTCGTGTAACACTTTGAGTTCTCCTGTAGCGAGATTTTTTTTCTGCACTATTATTGCCATTATCATCCAATACCTTGCGATATTGCCTTAAGTCAATTGGTATACCATTTTGATCGAATAGATACTGTGTGGATTTTCGATAGCGTAACTCACTCATGGTGCGTTCATTGGCCGAAGCGGAGCGCCGAAGCTTTCTAATAACACTACTGCGACCATTTTGATCTCGGGCCGACATATTTTTCGGAAAATCCAAATGTCTATGAAATCTACATTGAAAAATAGTTTATAAAAAATAATAATAAGAAAAAAAAATTATGACGAGTTTTCTTCTAATAAAGATCACTAATTAAATTATTAGAGCAAATGTTTTTCATTAAAAATATTCTCATCCAGCGGAAATCATTTATTCGAGAATTGAAATAAAAGATATTTGGCAGTATTGCTTACTCATTATAATCGTAGCATGTAAATTTCAATATATAATAACGTAGCTGATGTGCTTTTTTTCGTCAATAATTTAGGCTTTATAACATGCAATACGTTATTTATTATAATATAATAACTATATCAAGTGCTTTGAGACTTAAATTTAAAATTATTCAAAAAGTAGAGTTAATCGATTTTTACAATGAACGGTTCCTATGTTCTTTGGGAATTCAATAAGAAATTTTGGATAAAAAGTACGTAGGCATGTACCTATACTTTTTTTTGCCAGGGGATGTCTTGCATAGGACTGCCAACTGTGATGGTCGGAAAGAGAAAGAAAGATGGAGAGTGGCGCTAGCTTGGGTAAGTGTTATATCTCCACAGAATGCGCAATCATTATAGCTATGGAATTTGAACGCGTGAACACCAACTTAGTAGTTGTGACTCTTATCCATACGATTTTCGACTTTTCGATCATTATTCTCTAACTCATTATTATGATGTCAACAGTTTAGTTCAAGTTTCAAGTTTCGTCTTAGATTCTTGTCTTTTACTCGCTGCAGGTCAATAACTTTTTAAAGTGGTGCATATAAGCTATGGGTCCCTAATCTTAAAAGTTAATTTTTTCTCTGCATATGTAGTGATAACTGTATATAACTATGTTAACATCGGCCATTTTGTATGTGCTATGTTATGTCTTATATTGGTGGTTTGACATGATTTCTAATTACATTGTAGTTCTTAGGTGATCTCAAAAAGTTATTCAAAATATTCCAATAAAAGATAGTGAAGGTTAATGGGAAAAGCATAGACTAAGAGGCTAAGACGAGAACCAAAGGATATCTCGAAAAAGGATTAGTTTGAAGGAGACCAAATAAATAATGTGACTTAATAAATAAATCATGAACGAATGAATTTTAAGCTCAATATAGTTAGTTTACAATTCTCGATATATATATATTCTCGTATGTAGCATTGTCGCAGTTTGACACAATACTATGTAATAAGTCGATCGGAAAGATTTTTCCGTTTCGAGTACAAGTTTCAGCAAGTATACGCAAATTCATTTGACCTATAGGTGGCTCTCCTTTTTTTTATCAGCAAATGAATTAAAACGAAGATGATTTATGTTAGCATTAAATGAGACGCGGTTGTATACCCATGACTACTGATAAAGTTCATTTACGCCACTGTATTTTGTACGAATTCTGTGTAGGAAGTAATTGAAGGTACAGTTTCTGATAGAACATGCGTGAGATGGTTCGAAAAATTTCAAATAGGCGATTTTGGACTTTTTGATAAGCCACGCTCTGGACGATCATCTTTGATCGAGGACCACACTCTCAAAATTATGTTAGACGGAAACCCTTCTGCGACGATAACGGAGACTGCGGAAAATCTTGACTGAATTCAAGAAACGATTTCGAGCACTTTCGGAAACTAGGATTAGTATGGAAATATTCGAAATAGATCTCATAGGAGTTAAGTAAGAAAAATATAAAGGATTGAGTCATCATATGCATATATCTGCCTGCACGGGACAAAAACGAATTCTTCTTAGACCGAATAATAATTGTAGATGAAAAGTGAATTAGGTATGAAAACATTGTAATGGAAAGCGCTTAGTGTAAATGAGGAAAATCTGCCCACTTGATCTTTAAACCGAAATTCAGTCTGGGAGGAGAATCTTGAGCACATAGCGTGATTTTCAGACATTTTGAACTATTGGAACTGAACGAAAAGCTAAATTCGGAGATTCAATGTATGACAAATTTTGCTTTATTCTAAAAATAGGACAAAACTTTTCGATAGACGATATAGGCATATATATATAAATATCATTTTATATATTATTATGTAATATTTGTTTTATGCTATTGTCGGGTGCAAAGTTCTATTGCGCGGAACGAATATCAATTTTTTAAAGGTAATCACTGGCATCTAACTAGTACACGTTACCTTGTTAATATTTAATTAATTTAACACGTGAACTAGCAATTGAAATTTCATGCTAGTAAATGCAGATTAACCTCTAGCAATGCAATACATACGCATGCATATTTTGTTTGGAAAACTGGTTTTACTTGTAGTAGAAAGGGATGAACAAGATTTACAAAAGTCATTAAAATGATTTGTAATTTATTCTAAATAGTCTGAAATGCAGTAATAAGTGTGCGAACGGCAGCTATCTCGCTAATATATATAAAGCGAGGTGAACTATAGTTCAATAAGTTGAAATAGATTTTCTATATCAAAATATTAGATCCTCAAGAACATGGATATCGATATCAGAAAGTCGATCTATCTGTTTATTCTCGCTCGATTGATCTCGCTTTTACAATCTCAGAAGTTTGTCCAGTGAAGCTAATTTCATCTCAACATTTTTTTACAATCATAGGAATAATTTTGTAATTTTCCCTTAAACCCATTTCCTTTTTTGTTTATATCTTTTCAAAAAAAAGTGCAGTTGAAGCCACGAAACGAATAAACGATTTTAACTCACATGTATACGAACATAACACCCAAAGCTCTTGTTACGTACAATCTATTATTCAGTTTTCATTATGTTTTGTCTTTCGTCTCTTTTGTGTTTTTTGATAATTTTCAAGGACGTCTTTTTCCAGACTAACATAATAAATATTTTGCCAAAACGTCAATCATATAATAAACGCGCGTGACTAACTACTTACTATGCGTAGCGAAGACATTGTGTAAATGAAAAAACGATCGCGAAATACGATTAAATGAAATCAAAGTGAAAACAGCGGTCGAGTGAAATTTCAAAAGAAAAAGGAAAAAATTATCATCGAATTTTAATTAAAAATTAATATTTGTACAATAACCATTATGTAGTTGCCGCAGGGAAGGCACACTGGGAATTATGCATTCACATATTTCTTTAAATTGCGTGAATTTCTTATACTCCATTGAATGTTGCGAATATAAGTGAATTACTGAATGAATTAAGAGAAAAGGTTTTCATTTCTCACTTGCTACGTAATATTAGGTGCTTGCACGTATTTTGATAATTTTTTCATTTGAAAAATTGATAAAATATATATTAATCCAAATATTTTCTATCATTTTCTGGAGCTCTCAAGCTGCCTGTTGCGTATTATCAAAATTGCTAATATGAAATTGTCGTATTCTGAATCTCTCTTCATTAGATATTTTCAAGTAGCACGGGCATGAGCTCTTTTCATATATCTCCACCTTTAATCTGACTCGTCTAACTGCTCTATTGCAATACTTTAATACATGGGCTGCATAATTGAAGACGAGATTTTAACTTTCAAAATGTTTGGGCGGTATTCGCAAAACGAAAATTTTTGACTTACTGAAAATAAGCTAAAATGGGGGCTAAGCGATATGCCTTAAAAGACTATCGCAAAAGCTATTACAAAAATGTAATTCCATTACAAAGTTCAAAGGGTCCATAAGAATTGTCCATTGTCCTATTTTTGTTTTTCGATTATACCGTTACGAAAGTTATTTTCGCAAAGATAAATTACTACAACAAAAGCTCCTTTCTTAGCAAATCCAATAATGGGATATACTCACGATGAGTTAACTTGACACTTGCAGATCTAAATCGTTCTACGATTCTCCAAATGTATCATGGCAACTTATTATTATGATTACCTCAAAAATCCGCTTATAGGCACTATTATCACTATTACATGACCGTAATACGGAAGCATCATCAAGGCATAAAGTATTTCAAGAATTTATATTGAATTGTCAATTGAATCAATTTCCGAATCGATTTAAGCTCGCATGTCCCTCTGTCCGACTGTCAGTGTTCCCGTTTTGTATCCTTGTGTTTAGTTTACAGGTCGCAAAATTTTAAGATTTTCTGATGGAATTTGGAATATGCTATTGGAATAGTTCGGAGAGGGGCACTTTTACAAACGCAGTTGTGTAGGGTATTAAACGTCTATAATTTTTTTCCCTCTTTTCAGTTGAACTTTACCGGGGGTATAAGAAACCTTATTTCCGGGAAATTTTTCTAACTTATGACAAAAGTATTATTGCCCGCCGATCAACGCAGAGATGCCTTTATCTCAACATATAATGATTTATATTCTCATAAATATGCGCATGCGTCCTCTGATGATTGTTTTGAAAACTGCTTTCCCAAACTCACAAGTAAGAAATTCTACTTTGTCGAACAAAAGTTTCGGAACGATACATTATATTTGCACTAAGGCGAATATATATATCTTTTTTCTTTGTCTTTTTCTACTTTTAAGCTCTCCATACGTGCAGCAATTGAAGTTCATTGAATTTTGTTCAACTATATATAGAAGTAAATATCAAAGATAAGAAGAAGTTGTGTTTATTAAACCAAAAAAACAAAAGCAAGTAAAAAATTTATAATCGGTCGTGACCGAATCTTTTATACTCGTCACCATTATCTTAAAAAGAAAAAAAAAAACTGAAAAAAACGAAATTTTCATGCCCTATAAAAAGGAGTGGGCGAGACTGATTTTTTCTATTTTCAAAATAAAAATTTTTGCCGCATAGTCGAGTGGCCGTTATAGGCGGGTCGTTTGAAAAGTTGGCGTCACTTCTAAATTCTTTTGCAAATTCGTGGGTGAGATTTTCATTTCAGATACTAGACACTGGCGCAAACGGACAGATGGACTGACGAACAAACATAAATTCCTCGGTGCATTCCAAATTTAAAACTGGCCAAGAATTTGTATACTTGTTTTTGTTTCTGCGCATTATAAAGGTATTAAAAAAAAAATTAAATTTTTATACACTATAATGTTGCGTAGGCGCGGTCGATTTGTTCCATTTTTGTGCAGATACTACAGCATCGCCCATAGAATAT